ACTAAATTAAATATGATTTGTCCTATTGGTGGTGATCCTGAACAACGGTATGGTCGTCCATATGGTCCTGTTTGGTGTCTTAATTTAAATCGTCCATTCATATGTACGGCAACAAAAACAACTACTAAGCGTTAATAATGTTTTAGAAAACGTCATACAATCGTTATACTAATTTTTTTTTGTCTTTGTAGTTCCGTATTGTTTTGTAATAATTTCGGAGTTATTCTATGTATTTATATTTGCTTTTCTATTTCAGATTTCTCTTCTTTTTGTTATTACATTAATATAGAATTCGTCATTACACAAAAATAAAAAATGATCGATCAAGTACATGAATTCCTCAATCAAGTTCGCCAATTATTAAATACTACAGAAGATAATCACACAGAAGATTTATTGATAGAAGCAGAAGAAGAAGATAATGATGATAATGAAAATGAATCGGAACAATGGATTGATGAAAATGAACCAGGACATTGTGCTGATGTAGGTGATATTGTTTTTACTTTTAAAACAATACCAGGTAATCAGCAATCAAGACATACGTTGGATAGTCGATTATATCAACAAATATTGAAGATGCAAGGTTGTCAATTACTTGATGTATACAATAGCAATGCTCTTTATATGTGTAAAAACAAAGAAATGCAAAGAAAAATAATGGAACATGTAAAAGGAACAAATGCATATTCGTTCATGGAAAAACTTTGTGAAACAAATCCAACATGTGTTCAACAACGTTTAGATACAATAGTCGAGCAAGTAACTACATTGTTGAATGATTTAATTACATCGCATTCTATCAATGATTCACAATTTCGTCAAATGAATGTTGATCGATCAACAGTTCGAATGGATTATCTCTTTTTTCTGCCAGATACACGTCAAGTAAGTTGTATATTTTTCTTATATTTTTTCTTCTATTTTTGTTTTTGTCTAAATAGAAACATGTACCATTTCAACCTATTATGGTTTGTAGCTTAGGACCAACGATAGGAATTGCTCGTTATATTTATCGTCTCCTTCAACCTATCTATGATCATGTAGCTCTTTCAACAACATTTTTCAAAGAAACAGATGCTGTACATGCTATTGAAATATATGCAAATAAAGATTTATTATTACCAACGACATTATTTGCTAGTCTTCATATAAATGATTTATGTTCAATATTATCTCATGAAGAAATATTACAATCATTAGAACGCTTTCTCAATGAATATTATAAATCGGATCAGCGTATTCAAACTATAACTATCGATACTATTCTAAAACTCACCAAACTTATACTTCAAAATCAATTTTTTATCTACAAAAATAATATCTATCGACAAATCAAAGGTGGTGCTACTGAATCTCCATTCACTATTCTTTTGATGAATATCTATCTATTCTATTGGCAAGATGAATTAGTGAAAATTATGATCAACCAAAATGAAATATTTGGTCGATGTTTTGATAAAATATTTCTTACTTGGAATGGTTCAAAAAATGAACTTTGTTCATTATTGTACTCTACTATTCTCAAGAAAAACAAACAATCATCTTCTTCTTCTTCTATAAAGATAACAACTTCAATTGGAAAGAAAATTAATTATATGGATGCTCAAATAGGTCATATCAATGGTAGTCTTCTAACTAAAGTCAATCATGATACAGATACTGAACCACGTTCTCTACCTTACGTATCCAATCATCCACGTCTTTCATATTCAACATTAATTCGAGCATCACTCATTCGTGCTGTTCTCTGTTGTTCAAATATTCTCGATTTTTATAAAGAACGAGATGATATTGAAGAAACATTTCATAGTAATGGTTATACTCATGATTATACTGACGATCATGTTGAACAATTCTTTCGAGAATTTAAATCATTAAAATTGAAATCTTATATCATTCATCAATCTAAATATGAGACGCTTCGTCGTCGTGTATTCAAATATGATCAACAACAAATGAATATGACAATTAAGCAACGAAAAGATGAACAACATAAAGAACTATGGTATATTTCAACAACTTTGAAAGGAAAAGAATTAATTTATTTACAAGAACTTTTCAAAACTATTTGGCAACAATATCTTGATAATCACATAGAAGCAAGAAATATTAATATAGAAATCATTGGTCAACCTAAATATCCATCAAATACAAAATAATCTTTTCTTTTCCAGATCATAATCAAAGTTTATTATTCATTACGAAAGGAATTACTTTAAAAGTGATTCATGACAAATATCAAGCGAATATGCAAAAATTCTGTCGATTCTTCTATGCATTTTAATGTACATTCGTTGATTATTAATATTAATTAATCTTGTAGAAGTGTTTCATTTTGTTTATATTTGTCTTGTATAATTAATTCTACTATAATATATCTATCACAAAATAAAATAATAATTCTCTTCGATTCTAGATATAAATACGTTCTTGAAAAAAAGGACAAGTTACCGTTTCAATATCAATGGATGATAAAAAACAAGAAACTGAGCAGCCATTGGATAATTGTGATGAACAATCGGCTGTAGTCCGCCCAACAATATTACCTATAGTATGTTATGAATATAAACACGAAAATTTTTTTATTAGTTTTCTTTACATAGACAACACATACTAGTATCACTATGCGTTATTCTAACATTGATAGTATACGTATGAGTCCATCACCAATAGATACAAAGCCACGTATATTTCAACAAGGTACATTATTCGATCAAAAGACTTACGAACAAATTTTATCAAGTGTTGATCGTCACGATGATAATGATGATGATGATGATGATGATGATAATACTAATAATGATAGTGTATTAAATGAAGAATTATTCGATGAAAAAGCTATCAATGATGAACGAGAACAAGAAATTCAATATCTAACTCAAGTTATCCAAGCTAATCAACCTATGAATGATGATTTAGTTGATATTATGATGCAAGAATTTAATGATACCTTAGAAATAACAATAGATGATGATGATAATCAAACGCAGAGTGAGTTACAAACATCATCATCACACATCATTTCAACACAACATCCATATCCACCTGTCAATCAAACAGGTCTGGTAAAAGATCATGATCGTCCTTATGCTGAATATGGTCATCTTAGTCGACAAGTCATTGCAGAAGAATGTAATTTTGATCTTCAACCACCAACCTCACATATTCCTCGATTACATGCAAAAACATTTGCTATTACTTCAATGACTAATGTATCGAAAGATCTTGTTAGGGATGAAATCAAACAAAAATTTGGTATTGAAAATATTCAATATATTTGTATTAGCGAAGAAATCAGTGAATTAAATCATCGACAACATTTACATATACAAATTATCTTCAAAGAAATAATTGATCGAAGAAAACCATTTCTCGATGAAATAACTGGAACACGTTGTAACTATCAAGTAACACGCAATGATGTTGCATGGAATGAATATATAAAGAAAGGTGGAAATTATATTGAATTTAATGAATTTAAATCAACAACAAAACGTGGACAGACAGAATGGCCAGTAATGTCAGCCTCAGTATCAGCATCGTCGTCATCCTTATCTTCTCATCCTCAAAACAATGATAATCAACCAGTAGTCGCACGAAGAACAATAACAACAACAACAACTGCAAGAGGACAAGCAGATGAAAGACGTCAACAACGAACAGAAATATATAAACAAGCAATTAAATTAGCAAAAATCAACGTTGACAATGCTATGGATCTAATTGAAAAAGAAATGATAGATAAATTCGTTGAACGTGGTAGTTGGTATGTAAGAAAACTCTATGATAATACTAATAATAATGTTTCACTTTCTTTAACTCTCTGTTTAATCTTTCGTTTAGGTATTTAACAATATTCAACTATGTTCATTTACGAGCACAACATGAAGCAGATCGACGAGGTAATATCGACAAGGAATATGTTTGGTCTAAATCATTTCCTAATTGTACACCAAAACTTCGTTAGTATTACATTTTTCAAGTTGTCTTCTTTTTTTGTTTCTCACACTCATTGATATGTTGTAGGCGAAGCAATGGATCAATGGATTCAACATC